ATAAAATTTCCTGCCCGGGCTGGCTTTGAACCATGGATTACAAGGAGTGAGCCACCAGCACCTAGTGTGAAACATTCTTTTCTTGAACTTGGGGCCTGGGCACTGTCCCTGAGCTTTTTTGCTCAAGGCTAGTGCTCTACTCCTTTGAGCCATAGCACCCAGTTTTCTGGTGGTTAATTAGAGAAAAGAGTCTCATAGATTTTCCTGCCTGGGAAGACTTCAGGCCACTATCCACAGATCTCAGCCTCTTGAGTAGCTAGGATTACAAGTGTGATCTACTAGTGCCAGCAAAAAGCAAGAGTGAAGGCATGGCTCATGTGGGAGAGCATTAACAGAGCAAGATTCTGAGTTCAAACCATTAGTGCTATAAAACACATACAGCAGTAACAACAGAACCATTATGAGGGTCTGTGATGATCTTTAAAAGTTAAAAAACATGTTGGGTCTTAAATTCGACCAACTTGTAAGTTCCAACAAGGTCCCATATTTGGACTTTCACATAGCAACTTCTTGTTGTCTTAACTCAGTGCCAATGTCCAATAAACATTTAAAAAAAAAAAAAAAAAGATCACAAGCTGTGAACAGGAACACAGGCCTGACTTGTGTTACAGCAAGGATGAGCCTGGGAGACATTATGCTAAGTCTCAGAAGCCAGACACAAGACCACATATTATATGATTCTGTTTAAGTGAAATGTCTGGGAGAAGAAAATCCACAGAGACAGCGAGTGGATTAGTGGCTGCTTAGGGTTCCCAGCCCAGAGAGGGGAGGAGGAAGGGACCAGGGAGGGGTGGCTAACTGGTACAGGGTTTCTTTTTAGGCTCTGCTCTAAAATTAGCTTGTGGTGATGGCTGTCCCAATCTGTGAATATACTAGAAACCATTGAATTGTACCCTTCCGTGGGTGAATTTCATAACATGTGAATTATATCTCAATCAAACTGTTAAAAATATGCCTCGTCCTTTGGCAACAGCATTGCAAGTAATACAGGCTGAATATCCCCTATCCAAAATGGTGGCCACCAGGAGTTTCAGATTTCACAGTGTTTCACATCTTAGGAGAATGTACTGCCTTGGGTTGGGACCCGAGCCTAAACATGAAATTCATTTTGTGTTTCATATAAACCTTATAAGAAGCAAGCCGCAGGCAATCTTATGCAGTATTTTTAGCGCGCCTGAATCTTGACTTGCGACGTGTCATCTCAGGTCACGCGTGGAGTTTCCCACTCACGGCAGGTGATGGCAAACTTTGATTGGATGGAGAAGCACCTTGGGGATGAGTAAAGCAAACCTCTGGGTGTTGGCAAGGGTGAACTAAAGGCTCCTAACCTGCCCCGAAGGTCGGCTTCTGGTCTAGATAGGAGAGGATAAAGACTAAAATAGTGTGACCCTCCGCTCCCCCCCCCCCCCCCCCTTTCTCTCTGCTTCCTGGCTGCCATGCTGTGAGCCACTGTTTGGCCACGCCCTCCTCATTGAACTCAGGCAAATCCTCCTTTAGGTGTTTCTGTTCGGTATTTCATTACTGTGAGAATGTCTAACATGTGGCACCTTGTTTCACATTTGGGGGCATTTTGGATTTAGGACTTTTGCAGTTGTGGATGGCGGGCCTGTGGCAGTGCTGGTAGTGGGTGGTGTTGATGTGCACAGACTTCCAGATGCTGCTTCCAAGCAGGCCTCCTACCTGCAGGCCGCTGTCTCGTGTTTCTTGGTGGTGGGGATTGAACTCAGCGCTCCCAGCACTGGGCGGCAGTCTACACTTCTTCAGCCGCACCCAGTCCTTGTGCTTTTTTAGCGCCACCTCCCCTGTAGGTAAGTTTTTGTGTTTTCAGCTGAGTGGGCCTTGGATTCTTGGATTGTAGTCCTCCTACTTCAGCCTCCTGAGTAGCTGGGATCACAGGGGTACACTGCCATGCCCAGCTGCCAGGCCGTGTTCTTAGCATCCCATAATGCCACTGATTGCACATGTCTGACTGCCCTCGGTGGTGTGTGTGTGTGTGCACATCAAGCGTGTGCCAGGCACCTTTCAGGTGTTTCCTGTATGGCCTCTACCTGCTCCAGGTGAAGAAGCGGAAGCCCCAGGAAGGACAGCCCCTGGGGCCCTGTAGTAGGAGTCACACCGGGTCTTGGCACAGTGATGCCCGTGGCCCTCTCTGCTCCATGGCTGCTGGCTGAGCTTCCTGCCTTGCAGGGACAGACGGCTTAGGGCGCGGCCACCGAAGAGCCGTGAGCGCTCAGGGCTGTGCTCTCTCCGGAAGCGAGTGTGACCTCTGCCCTGTTCCCTTGGAGCTGGGGTTCCCCCGGGAGCCCAAGGGACGGAGGGCCGTGGGAAAGCACGCGCCGGCTTCCCGGGAGCACGGTTTGGGTGTCTTTTGCTCGTGGAGGGATGTGTCTGTCCCCCACAGAGCTTGCCAGCGTCCCCAGGGCCAGGCTGGCATGGCAGTGGAGGAGAGCGGGCACGGCGGCCTGTCGGCCCTGGGAAAGACGTGGAAGAGAAGGACCGCACAGGAGGACAGGAGACACTCCAGAGAGAATTTTTTTCCTTAGAAAAGTTAAAGGCCGGGGTGAGGCCCATGGCCGGCACGGGCCACGCCCTGCGTGTGATCCCCAGCTCTGAAAACAAACACAAACAGCACACAAAACAGGAGTACCGGTAACAAAAGGATCCCCTCACTGCCAGATGCTGGGATGGAGCAAGAAGTTATATTTAGCCCTGACAGGGGTGGACGGAACAATGGAAAAGCAGCCCAGCCCTGGCCCTCCTCTCCTCTCGATGTCCTGTGTGTGTGTAAACTCAAAGCATTTGAGAGCACTTGATCTAATACTAAACTATTTAAAAATAATGTCCATGACCCAGGAGGGAGGGGAAGGGTTATTTACTAATTAACTGCATCCTGGGGCTTGGAGGTGGCAGAAACGGCTGGCTAGTAGCTGCTCCTTTAATTCCAAACGAAGTTGAAGTTGCTCTGCTGGACAGAGAGCAAGTGCTTCCTTGTTTATGTTGGCTGTGTTTAGCCATTCGCAATCCAGCCAGGGATGAGGCTGAGTTGTATTTATCCACTGGAGTACACAACACAAGTAAATACAAATGCAAGCATTTTAAACATGTAAACATACATGTAAAACACAATAAACATGCATACAATGTATTCGTGTGTGTGTGTGTGTGTGTCTGTCTGTCTGTCTTGAGGCTTGAACTCAAGGCCTGGGTGTTGTCTTAGCTTATTCACTCAAGGATGGCACTCTACCACTTGAGCCACAGCTCCATGTCTGGCTTTTTGGTGGTTAATGGCTGGCTCTGAACGCATCTCCTCAGTTAGCTAGTATTACAGGCATGAGCCTGTATCCTTGGCTTTCAGTTTTGTTGGAATCTATTTTAAGTATCTTTTTTGTGTTTTTGTCAATATTGTTATATCCATTTAATTACAGAGACTGATACTTCTTTTTTATACTAATACATCTGAAAAAGTGAATTCTGTCAAAAGAACTTTTAACTTAGATGGTCAGATGGTTTAACTGCATTTAACACATGATTTAAATCGACATGGTGACAGTATCTACTTACAGCCTTAGCAATGTGTTCAGTTTGTAAGGATCAGGTCTGTATAATTGGTATAGCTGATGGATTTTTTTTTTTTTTTAATTTTTTGAGGCAGGCTCTCAGCAGCTCGGGCTGGCCTTGAACTCACAGCCTTCCTACCTCAGCCTCCTAGGTGCAGGGATTAGGGCTGGTGATGTCTCCCTTGACATGCAAAAAGCCAAGGTCACTTGGGGGTCACGATTTAGCAACATCTGCCAGATTTGATCTGTTTCAGAAATCAGACCTCATGAGCATCGCCTTGGCCTGCATTTTCTCAGCTCAGAACTGCCTACTTGGGACTTGGGTGTAAGGAATGGAATACTTCATTTTGGAAGGATGGCTCATTACTTTAGGCATTTGGATCCTGACCTTGGAGGGGTTGTTTCGGTTTGTATTTCAGGGCTTTCTGAGCTGAAGATGGGTAAGATCAGGGTTGACATAGCGGCAGTTGGGTAAGAGCTCTCCAGATAACCCAGGAGAGAGAGATGCAAAGGCCCTGTGGTATGAGATTGATGTAGCACCTGACAGTCTCTGTAGCTGCAAAACAGAGTGTGAGGCATAGATGACCCAGGGTCACGTGGTAGAAGCCGGCCAGGACTAAGCCGGGCAGGATCTTCCAGAGCTAGGAGAGGACAGTAATCTTTTTGTGTGCTGTAAGGAGGGAAAGCCACAGGAGGATTAAGTTGGGAGCAATATGAGGTTGGTAGATGCGTGCCTCATCTCACAAGTCTGGGGAAGGTAACATTACCCGCATTCTAAACCAGCACAGACGTGGAAGGCAGTGGAGATTAAGTAGTTTACCCAGCCAGGAGCACCTTGCAGATAAGCTGTGGAGCCAAGGAACCGACTCCCAGCAACCTGAGTGCAGGTCTCTTTGTCCAGCCTCTCAGGCTATCTCTGAGTAGCAGAACAACAGTCTTGAAATGCTTTGTCCTCTTAAGATGATACCCTTCAGTTCCAGGGTGGGATTATGCCACAGAAACCCGAGCGGTCGGGAGAGAGTGCAGCTGCGTGGTGCTCAGGAAAGGCCCAGGGTGCTTGGCGCAGCCCCGGCCCCTCCAGGGGGCTGGGCTGGGGTCTCCCAGCGGGCCGGTGACACGGACAGGCTCCTGGCCGGCCATTTGACACTGCCTTTGTCCACAGGGACTCATTGTCCACGAAATGTGCCCCAGGCTTTCAGGACTTTGGGTTGGGCAATCAGATCTGGGAGTTCATGAGTGCTTTCACCCCAACATCGCATGGGCCAAGGCCAAGTTTCTGGTCCCCCCCTCCCCTCCCCGCCCTAGGGCCCTCTTACTGGCTCTACAGATCAGTCATGATTCCTGGGGACAACCTGAGAAGCCGAATTCCCAGCTCAGTGGGGACATACCTGCTGGCTCCAGCCACCGCGTTCTTGCGGGTAACAAACGTCTCTTCTTTCCCAGTTGACCACGTCGTCCCTGAGCCCGGCACCAGCCTGCTGGCCGCCTTCGACCAGTGGCGGGAGTGGGCGGACAGCAAGTCCTGCTGCGACTACTCCCTGCACGTGGACATCACCGAGTGGCACAAGGGCATCCAGGAGGAGATGGAGGCGCTGGTGAAGGACCACGGTGGGTGCCACCAACCCCCCCCGGGCCCGGCGGGGGCTCCCTCTCACTCCATGGGGGCACAGCTCTGGGAGCCGACGCTCTGAATGGTTCCTGTACATCCCGGGCCTGCCTTGGCCTTGTCTGTCTTGGGCAGGGGGTACTGGGAGAGAGCAGATGGGGACCCCCATCTACGGGAACTTCTGGTGGTTCAGGAAGCAGAGCCAAATGGTGCGTCTTCCTGGGTCTGTTGGAATTTGGATTCAGTCCCTTGACCTCAGAGACCCTCAGTGAAGCACTTGGTAGTTTGGGGTTCTGTGGGAGCGCTCCTGGGGTGGATACAGGTGTGGGAGGGAACCCATGAGCCCTTCCCAGAATGCCTCAGAGAGGAAGCCAGCCTCTCAGGCTATTTCTCTCCCCTACCTCAGTCTTCACTGTATGTGACCTTAGGCAATTTACTTAAATTCTTTGGATCCCAATTTTTTTTTTAAATCTGTCATGTGAGGATATTGGTCTAAGATGTCTCCTGAGATCCTTTCCAGCATGACTATTTCACAAAGAAGAAATTAGGTTGCCTTTGACCTTTTCTCAGTTTTGAGAATACCCAGACTCCCATGGATTTACGTCTGGCCAAGGGAGAGGCATCCGGGGAGGGTTGCCATGGTGACCGCTGCCTGCCTGGGGCAGAGGAGCCGCGTCCTGGGGCAGGCAGTGCGGGCAGCGCAGGCAGCCTCCAGCACCCCCAGGTGGCTTGAATTAAGCTCCAAGGCTGCCAGGTTGTCAAGACGATTGTTTAAAATTCTGCTAGACGTCGGGCAGGGCTGCTTGGCCTGGTGCCTAGGCCAGGCAAAAAGTCTTGAGATGAACATTATGACATCTGCTTGTCCAATTAACGGACCTTAAGGAGAAAAAAACCCAACAACACATTTGAAAAAAGTCAGCATGGAGGCCAGTCAGCTTGCCAAAGAACAGACACGAATCCCTGAGCTGCAGAGACAGAAATCTCTGACTCACTTTGTTGTTAAAAGTCACAGAAGCTGGGTACTGGTGGCTCACGCCTGTCATCCTAGCTACTCAGGAAGCTGAGATCTGAGGATCGTGGTTCAAAACCAGTCCGGGCAGGGACGTCTGTGAGACTCTTATCTCCAATAAACTGCTCAGAAAAAGCTAGAAGTGGTGCCGGGGCTCAAGGGGTAGAGCACTAGCCTTGAGCACAGAGAGGCTCAGGGACAGCGCCCAGGCCCTGAGTGGTAAAACATGCGTAAGACTTGGTCATTTTAACCAGTGGCATCCAGTACAGTCAGTGTGTGGCACTATCACCGCTGTGATAGTCTCCGGAACTCTTGCCCCATTAGAGAACAATTCTTCACCTTCAGCTCTCAGTAACCGTAAGTCTGCTTTCTGTCTCTGAAACCCACTGCTCCAAGTTCCTCATTGAAGTGGAATCACCCAGGATTTTGTTTTTAGTGATTGGTTTATTTCATTGACCAAAAAAAAAAAAGTCCTCAGGACTCATCCATGTTCTAGCATCCTTCCTTTTTATGGCTGAGTAATAATTCCATTTATATACTGACCGCAGTTTGTTTATGTCTTCATCCATTGATGGTTGCTTGGGTTGTGATGACTAATTCTGCCTTGAGCATGGGTGGATTCCTACTGCAGCCGCTTTTAATTTTGGTCTTGTTTTAAACTTAGGGGAAAGTTGTAAGAGCACTAATAAAGAGCCCTCAGATACACTGGTTATTTGTATTTTTACCATGTTTGCTTTATCTTTCTAACTGCATCTCTGTTTCTCCCTTCATCCCTCTCTTTACCAGCTCGGGCGCACACACAGACACATATGATACTATCACGCTCTTTCCTTCCCAGGTTATTTGAGTTTGGTGTTCTTCTTAAAAGTCACCCCCTCACCTCTGTTTTCTGTCACCAGGTGTAAACTCTTTCCTCGTCTACATGGCTTTCAAAGATCGCTTCCAGCTCACTGATTCCCAGGTGAGACACGGGGCTCTGTCCCTGCTGTTGGGTGTGGCCGGGCCACTGCTGCTGTCTGGGGGGGTTCCTCGCTTGGTGGATGTGGCTGCTGGCCTTACTGCCAGGTGAGCCAGGTTCCCTGGCCCCCGAGGCTCTGGCTCTGAGCCTTGGAACTGGAAAGCTGAGCACGCTGTGGCCACAGGAGGCCCTCAGAGCCCCTTGGCACGTGCGTGGGTGCCCTGTCACCGGACTGGGTTATGTGGGGGGGGGTACAGGGAGGCCGGGGTGGCAGTGTCGGGGGGGAGAGGCTTCCTATGACAGAAGCAGCTAGGAGCATTACCTTGGAGCATGGGATTTCTAGAGGTGGTGGGTGAGGGGTTACTTCCCCCTGGAGGGGTAACGGGCCTCACGGCCCCTACGGACACGTGCTGAGCGTGTCCTGAGCCGGCCCGAGGAGGTGGGCAGCAGGAATGGGATGTGTGACTCAGTGTCCCCCAGATGTCTGGAAATGTGGCTGCCAGGGAGAGGCATTCCTTGGGAACAAGAAGACAGGGGTCGTCGGTTCTGATCCCACACTCCTCTTCTTCAGATCTATGAAGTCTTGAGCGTGATCCGGGATATCGGTGCCATTGCCCAAGTCCATGCGGAGAACGGCGACATCATTGCAGAGGTAGGGGCCTTCCAGGCAGGCCAGGGAAATCATGGTGGGGGCAGGAGCTGCTGCCGCCGCCAAGGGAGAGCGCAGGCCTGCTTGCCTGGGCCTGGCGGGTGGTGCCAGACCCCGGGGGGGGGAGGGGCGGGGGCTGTCCCATCCCCACACCACCGTGCCTCCTCCGCCCCAGTGGGGCTCAGGGCTCCCCAGGCCGGGTCTTACACCAAGACCACAGGACAGGACACCTGCTCCAGGATGCTGAGTGGTCTCGGGGCTATGGATCCATCCGGCTCAGGCAGGACTGCAGCAGGGCAGGGACCCCTTTTTTGTCTGGTGTCTTGGGATGTGGCTGAGCGGTCAGCAGTGACAAGTTTGTTTCCTGCCTGGGGATCCTGATCCCCTGATTGTCTCCTTTCTTCAGGAGCAGCAGCGGATCCTGGATCTGGGCATCACAGGCCCCGAGGGACACGTGCTGAGCCGGCCTGAGGAGGTGAGCAGCGGAAGTGGGATGTGTGACTCAGTGTCCCCCAGGCGCTGGACAGAGCACAGGAGTCACTTTGAACCTGCTTCTCGGAGGCAGCAGCCGTGTGTGTGTGTGTGGGGGGGGTTGGTTGGGGGCTGAGTCCTCGGTGGCTTGTTTTAGCCTTGTGGGTTTTCTCTGAACCTTTCCTTGGGTGATCTGCAGCCCTCCCTTAGCCTTCTAATGTGAAGGGGATACAGAAGCAGCTGTGCCACATCTGGGCACAGATGCGCGGGAGGAGTGGCAGGTTTTCCACCATAAACCCATGCAGGCTGTGGCATAATTTTGTCAACATCAGTCTGCGACCTTTAAAATTACAGAAGGGAAAATCTGAGCAGGGCTCTGGGTGGTGCAGAGATTTCCAGTCCCGGCCGCTTAGAGCGTGAAGCCTGCTCTTCTGGAAAAGCTTGTAGCTTCCAGAACTTTCTAGAAGTTCCCTCCTAACTGAAAGGCTCAGGATCAGACCTTGTGGAAGTCATGGCCAAGAAATGTGTGGCGGTCCTGAGTTGAAGGGATGACGGGGAAGGCTGGACCCTCCCCCCTGCCAAGGGGAAGGGGTGAGGAGAGGAGAGCAGATCCTCAAGGCCCGGAAGGACTGGCATGGGGGGGGGCGGTCCCTCAGGGGGCCCTGAGCCCACAGGACACAGAGGGCATTGGGATGTGGCTCCCAGGCTCCAGCCCCGGCCTCTCCCCTGGCTCCTGCCGGCTCTCTTTCCAGTTTGCCAAGAGGTATCTGTTGTGTGTTAGAGTCTGAGGGGGCGATAAAGAGAATACAATATGGATGCACTCTGAGTGGACTCCAGCCAGCAACTACAGAGGAGCCACCAACACAGGAAGCAGCCTCGAGAACAAACGAAGAAACATGGCCCCCGGGCTCTCCTTCTCAGCCTCCTGATGCTTCCCTTGTGTTGGAACTCCATCTTCCCGTGCTGCTGCGTTCCTTCTCAGCCTCCCACCTGGTGGGATTTCCCCTGGCTTTTAGCCAGTGGCAAAGGAGATGGCAGAGGCAGGGAGCCCTGTGGTTCATGCCTGTAATCCTGGCTACTCAGATTTGAGGATTGTGGTTTGAAGCCAGACTGGGCCAGAAAGGCTGGGAGACTCTTACGTCCGATTAACAAACAACAACAAAAAAGCCAGAAGTCGAGCTGGGAAGGTGGCTCAGTGGTAGAGCGCTTGCCTTGCATGCATGAGGCCCTGGGTTCGATTCCTCAGCACCACATAAGCAGAAAAAAAAAAAGCCGGAAGTGGTGCTGTGGCTCAAGCGGTAGAGCACTAGCCTTGAGCTGAAGAGCTGAGGGACAGGGCCCAGGCCCAGAGTTCAGGCCCCACGACCAGACCAAAAAAAACAAACAAACAAAAAGCCAGAAGTGGAGCTGTGGCTTAAGTGAGAGCAGCAACCTTAGGCTCCGAGTTCAAGTCCCAGCACCTCACAAAAAACCACAAAGACAGGATAGGATGCAGACTTGGAGAAAGGACACAGCAGGATGGATGGATGAGAAGCTACAGCCTGTGCTCTGAGCCAGACACAGCCAGGCCGTGGCTCAGCAGGACTCGAAAGAAATGGTTTCTTCTAGGTGCTAGGGAGGAAGAGGCAGACAGGAAGTAGGTGTTAGGGCAGGAGGGGGCGGGTCCTGGCAGGAAACAGCCATGAGAGCCTGGCATCCTGGAAGAGTAGGGACCAGCACATGGTAATGACGCTTTCCCAGAGAAGCAAACCTCCCACTGAGCTTCACAGAAGGGCTCGGCTGGGGTGGGCAGGAGGCCGAGGGGAGCTCTGGGCTCAGATGCCGTGCATCCCTAGAGAGGTAGTTGCTCTCTCTGGGCCTCCTCAGAAGGTGGGACTGGATGACCTTCCCAGTCTTTGAGAGCAAAGAGATATTACTTTAAACTGTCATGCTATGTTCACGATATTGTGGCGATCCCATTTCGGTCAGATCAGTATTGTGTAAAGCAGCGTGATTGTGTAGCTGAGGTGTGTGTATACACTCACAGGAGTGTCAGATGATCTGCGCAGAACTTGGGGTGTGGGGGTTTAAACGGCCACCTTTCCAGTGAGTTAAAGTTTTACTCTGGCATGTGGCTGGCCAGCTCTGGCCTCTCGTTGGCGGGGGGCCGGGAAGGGGGCTCGGCTTCTTCCTTGTGGATGGGTGGCTCCAGGTGCCCCCTGAGTCTCAGTTGATGCACACATGGTTAGAAGCAGTGCACAGCCCAGCTCAGCCCAGCACAGACCCTGGCTGCGCTTCTTACCCCTCTGGAGCTATTAATAGCTCTTCCTCCACTTCCTTCCTCACATCTGTGTTGGGGCATCCAGCCTAGGGGGTCCCGGGTCCCTGCGAGGTCCCAAGGCCTCTAGCCAGACCTCTTCACACTGACTCCGGGGTCCTTGGAAGGACCTTGGTCTGGAAGGCCCTGGAGAAGGAGGAGGGAGGAGGGAGGTGGCAGGAGGGAGGGCCACCCTCCAGCTATCCCAGGAATGAAAAACACTGGCCGTGTAGGGAGGTTTTCCTGAGCTGTGCCTCACCCATGGCTCTCAGATGTCTCTCGGCGGAGTTGCACTGTGAATGACGCTGTCTTGGCTTCTCTCTTCGCTCACCAGTTCAGGCCACCACAGACCTCAGTCCAGACAAACTTGTGGAGTTGGGGGTGGTGGCTATGTCAGCTTAGTGATTGTGTGGGAAAATAGCCTAGCTTCAAGCACCAGCAATAAGGTGAAGTCATTTATTTGTCCAGCAAATATTCCCTCCACCCCCTCACCCCCCCCCCCCCCCACCGGGTGGCACTGGGTTTGAACTCAGGGCCTCCTAACTTGCTAGGAGCCCTGGCCCCAGCCGAGCCCAGTGCACATCCGAGCACCTGCTATGTATCAGCCCCACATTTGGGCGGGACCTGGAGGGTCACACCACAGAATCTCAGGGGACCCTAGCCCGCCAGGGAATGGATTCAAGGCCTTGAGCCCCATAATTAGGGTCTCCACTTTTTGCCCGGGCCAGCCTTGGAGCTGGATCCTCCTACCTGTGCCTCTCGCATAGCTGGGGCCACAGGCACACACCACCACACCTGGCTTACTTTTGAGGTAGGGCTCTTACAAACTTTCCCCAGGTTGGCCTCAAATAACCCACGATCCTTCTATCTCTGTCACCTGATGAGCTGGGATTAGAGGCATGAGCCACCGTGCCCGGCTGCTAGTAGCCTTTTGAGATCTGTTCTCCCACAGTAAGTTACTGCCATCCATGGCAGTTCTGCAGTTTTCCGGGGCGTCTTGAAATTCTCTTCAGAGACACCAGCTTGGAGGAGGCATGGCTGAGGAGGGCAGTTCTTGCTCTTGTGCCGAGGTTGTGCCAGCCCGTGGCAGGTGGGCCACGCTCGAGTGTTGAGAGCAGGGCCCTTGGCATGCACACATGCAGCTGTCGGCCCTCCCGCGCTCCAGCTGGCTTTGTGTTGTGGGTGTCCCCGGCTTGGTTTGGGAACGTCTCACAGCGGCGCGGCATGGCATGACGTCACCCAGGCGCTGAGGTCGGGTCTCCCGGGCGTCACCGTGGCCTCCCGCACGCGGGCAGGTGTCGCGGTCAGGCTGGGTGCACCCTGCACCACGGGCCGGACCCTCACCCACGAGTCTGGTGCCGGGGGGGTGGGGGGGAATGTGTTTCTACACCCCGTGTGATGTGGCCCCTGCTTTGAGAAGGCTCAGGAAGGGATGAGCCCGCCATTGCCCAGCAACCGAGGGTGCAGCCGGGGTTGGCTGAGCCCTCGCTGTCATCTGGTGTCCCATAGGTCGAGGCGGAAGCCGTGAACCGGTCCATCACCATCGCCAACCAGACCAACTGCCCCCTGTACGTCACCAAGGTGATGAGCAAGAGCGCGGCCGAAGTCATCGCCCAGGCCCGGAAGAAGGGTGAGTTTCGCGGGCGGTGCTGGCAGGTTGTGTGTGTGTGTGTGTGGGCATGGAGAGGGTCGGCTCCTTTTCCAGTGCTCCTGCCAAGTGGGCCACTAGCTAGCAGCTCCTTCCAGCATTAACCTAATTACAGCCCAGTGGGGCGGCAGCTCCGGTTTCCTCCCTTTGTTCCTTACTACCTTGTTTCAATCTATTTAAAGGCAAGGTGGGCAGGCCTTCCTCCACTCTCCCCCCGCCCCCCACAGGGAAAAGTTGGGGTGCCCTGCTGGGAATCATCCCTCCGCAAAGCTGCTGACCTCTCCTCCCCATCCAACCATGATCACGCCAGCTAGGCCCTGCCAATCAGCTGTGCGCTGTTCCTGACAGGCTGCTTCTGCTCTGGCGATGGCTCATTGATAAGGGTCTTGGAAACTAATTTACTGAGTGCCGCTTGCTTTCCCTCGGGGCCCCGCTGGCCTGTCCTGTGCATGATCAATGCTGGGACTCCACCTGCCACTGCTGAGTGCATTTGGTTAATCACAAGCAGGTTTGATGTCTGGGATTGGCACCTGGGACAGGAAGTACACACACTTGGCCTTTAAGCCGCCATGAAATGAACATTGGGAAGGGGCCTTTTCTTTCTTGCTCCTCATTGTCCTCTCCCTGCCCCTTGGCCTCTGTATTTCTCCCTCTCTGAGTCTCCATAGTTTCTCCTTCCTCTCCTGAGTTCGGATCGCTTTTTGTCTTTCTTTGTGCTGGGCCTGGGGGCTCAATCAGGGCCTCAGGCTTGCTAGGGATGCGTTCTACCCTCTTTGCTTTTAGTTTTTTCAGATAGGGTTTCGAGCTTTTGTCTGGTCTGGTCTCAGACCTTGATTCTCCTACCTCTGTCTCCCAAATTGCTGGGATTATAGTAGTATACTACCCTATTGGCTTTTTTCTCTTGAGTTCTAATTTCTCTTTCTCTAAGATCAAGTCTTTTTATTTCCCTCTCATTCTTTTTTCTTTTCTTTTTCTCTGTCAGTAAGGGAGCAGTTGGGCCTCCATGGCTCTTTGTTTCTCCTGCTCTGGTATGCTGTTCCCAGGGCTCAAGGAGGGTAACTCAGGTGACTCACCTGAAGCCCCAGAGCAAAGTGCTCAACGGCCATGGGATTGGCTTGTCCCGAGACACGGTGGGAATGTCCAGTGGATGCCGTCACTCTGGCCCTGGTCTTTGGAGCTCTGGTGTCTGGGGCTCTACCTGAGACTCTCTCTATGCTCCGTATTCTTGGGAGCCTGCCCTCCCCTGGCTGTTCAAGGAATTACCTTTTGGAAGCAAGAATTGACTCACCTAACTAATGGGGTCTGCTCAGAGCCTGCTTTGAATTGTTTTTTCAAGGTGACTGTGGATGGTCAGGGCGGTGGCTTGGTGAGCCAGCCCTCCGCAGTGCACTTCCAGAGCCCTCCGGGGCGAGCAGGACTTCCCACTGGTGTGGGGCCGGAGGCTGGCGGCGTGGAGCTGAGTTCTGCCCCGGTGTTGCGCCGCACTGCATTATGATCGCACTGCATTATGAACGCCTGGACGGCAGCGAGTGCCCCTCCCTCGTCCTCAGAGCGTTTGGGGGGTGGGGGGAGAGGGAATTGTTTCAGGCTGTTCTGGAACTGAGCCTTCTGTGTGTGAGCCCACTGCGCCCACACAGCCATTCCCAGGGCGCCCCCCCTCCCCCCCCCCCACACACACTGCCGCCCTTTCGTCCTTGAAAGTGTAGTGTGGGACACACCTGAGTTGTGGGGAGGAATTCTAGCACATTTGTGCGCCAGTCCACAAACACAAGACCGCCTGTCCTCCTGCAGGCGGGGAGGCGCTTTCCATCTCAGAACTTCCGGCAGCTTCCGAGAGGGAGCCCAGGCAGACGCTGCCACAGTTCCCGCTTCCGCTGAAGCTCCGAGCTACGCCTGCGGGCGTTGACTGGCCGCTGGCCGCGCTGTAGGTGCTGTGCCGCAGGTCAGCACGTTCGCGTTGGATGGCCTACGCCATCCACGGCGTGGGAGATACTTGGGGGACCTCGTTTCTGGCAAACCTGCTAGAATCTGGAGCCTGAACCCCAGCAGAGGCCAGGGTGGCCATGCAGGGATTCCCAGCTTCACAGGGAGAGAGTAGAAGGCAGTGTTAGGGCTTGTTCCCCCGATGGGCAGAATGTCTCAGTTCAGTGCTGGCTTCTTGGGGCTCAGCATCGCCAGCCAGATGCTGGTCTGTTTTCTAGTCCCTGTCGGGGGAGGGATTTGACAGTGAGTCATGGGATAATGATGATGATGATGTGTGCGAGAATGAGGTGAGGATGGACGCAGACATGTGTGGTTTCCCTGGTGACTGGATAACCCAGGGCTGGTCCAGCCCGGAGCTTGTTGACAGCTGGCCTGTGCGGCGGGGTCCTGCTGAGGGTTGTATTTCTGCCTCCCGTGGCTCCTTCAGCCCCCGGGAGGCGCGAGTGAGCGCTGCTGTAGCCTTCTGCTGCTCCATTTCTTTATCCACACCCTTTTCCTTCGGGGTATTTCAGGCCCAAGGTGCTAGGAAGAAGAAACGGCCTTGTCCCTCGGCAGCTTCTGGAGGGTGCCGAGGTGGTTCATTCTGTGCAAGAGGCACAGCCATGCCGGATGAGAGCCTGGAGAATAGGGAGAGTGGACGTGTCGGGCTGTGGGGGAGGACTGGACATTTCTTTAGGAAGGAAGTTGTTAAGTCATAACCGAGCCGGCAGTAGCGGCTCCTTCTCAGCGAGGCCCGGCAGAGCTGCTGCTGCTGCTGCTCCTGGGTGTGAGAGGAGATTTTTCCAGCGAGCGAGGATGCGACAGGCCGTGAGACAAGCATCCGCGAGGGCTGTGTTCACGCGTGAGCTTGACCAGCAGCCTGTGTGTGCTTGGAGACCTGCTGCCACCTCCTTCAGCCCACGCGGCGCCATCCCAGCCTCGTCCTGCAGATACACTAAGAAAAACACAGCCAGGAACGAATACTTGGGGCAGCTTTCATTTTTTAATTTTTGGCGGTACTCGAGGTTGAACAAAGCAGGGCCTCATGTTTGCTAGGCAGGCGCTCTCCTGTTGAGTCACAGTTCCAGCCCCCCGCCCCCCTTTGGGTCTTCCTGCCTTGGTGCTTATCTGGGCTGAGATTGCCTATATTAGGCTCTCTGGCCATGGCTAGAATAACAGGTATGTGCCGCTGTGACTGGTCAAGAAAGGAGATGAACTTTTCCACCCCACAGGCCTTGAACTACAGTCTTCCTTATCTCAGTCTCCCATGGAGCTAGGATTGCAGGAATGAGCCACACGGACCCAGCCAGCTTATTGTTCTTGAGAAAACGTAGCCATTTGTCAGTTTAATCTGTTCATTTCATGGGAGCGAAATGGCAAGGTGGAAATGGAAGATCATCCTCTGTATTACTCAGCCTGTGGGAAGCAGAGCCAGGATTCAGACTCCAAGGTGACCCCTTTCTCTGAAGGCTAGGGTGGGGTTTCATCCTGAGAACGGCTTCATTCAGGTTGTATTTTGATCATGTGGGAGTCTGGTATGGCTGCCGATGCTTTCTGTGTGTGGGACACAGGGGGAGACAGCCCTGGGTAGTGGCTGGTTGACCTCATTTGAGGGTTGGACACCCCTCTTTACCCCCTTCTCTACCCCAGCCTCAGAACTGGAAGCAGAAGATTGAAACAGTTATGTTGGCTGAGGAACAGTCCACACCAGGAGCCCAAATCGTAGAGAGGACTCCTGATGCTGGACGGGATGGTCTGGGGTCTGGGTGCTGGGGCATCGTGGAGCACATGGAGTGCTGTGGTCAGTGGCCTGTGACGACCACTTGTCATGGGGCCCAGTCCTGAGGGTTAAGATAAGACACAGCATTGTAATCTGGAGTCTAAGAGTGGCGTCTGTTTTGGCAGGTAGACTCGGTTGTGGATGTTCTAAAATCCCAGCAGAATCTGTATTAGAAAAGTAGTCAGTGGGGGCCGGGAGGATGGAGACAGACAGATTTGTTCTAGGGAATTGGCTCATACAGTTCTGAGCTGGTAGGTCCGACACCCATGGGCAAAGCCATCAGGGTAGAATCCTGGGAGAGACAGGATGGGGCCATTTACACCCGAGGCTGCGTGGAGGTAGAACCCCCTCGCTCTGGTCAGTGCCCTCATGTGAACTGCCCAGGCCCTGAGAGGTGGGGAATCCGGTTTGCAGTGTGGTTTCAGCCACTGGGGGATGAGATCCTGAATCTCATTTTCAGCCATCTGAGCTCTGAATTTGTAAGACACAATGGGGTTCCTTCAACTTGAGTCATATTGGTGGTTCTTGACCGGGGATTTTGGAGTCCTGAATTCCTTCTCTTTGCCCGCTTTACCCAACACCATTAGGCACATTAATTTCATTAACAAAAGAAAAAGGTGTTGTACCTCATCAAGTATATGTCAGAACCTTGCATCTTATTAGGATTTGGTGTGGAGCATTCAGTTGTGATGTTTCTTGTGTCCACTGGCTCTGTGGCCGAGGTGGGCTTCTTTAGTGTAGATAGCACGATTGGTGCCTTTAGAGTGTGTTAGATTAGCAAGTCAGTTCCGGCAACCTCAGATTTCATTTCTTACCAGGCCACACTGAAGGTTCCATTTCTCACCAGGCGTGATGGTCCCAGCACTGGAGGGGTGGGGAGGGGGAGTTGGGGAGGAGAGCCAGGAGGATGTGAGGGGTGAGGCCAACCTGGACTACGTGGGTAACTGACTCCGAAGTGAAGAAGGATTTTCGTTTTATTCCTTGGTACCAGAGTCTGCCAGCACAGACTTGAGGCGGTGGAGCTATGGAGGGAGGGAGAGTGGGGAGGGGCAGGGGTGCGTCCTCCCCTCCCAACGGTCTTCTCACTCTGCTTTTGTGCCTTGATGGTTCCATTGTCCCCGCTTTGGGTTTGTCCTCGCGCCTCATGCTCATGGGACATGACTTAAGTCTAGGAGCCAGGAGCTGTCAAACAGTTCTAACGCCAGCCCTGCATTTCTTCTTCATGAATGCACTGGGGCCCAGGCTGGTTTGTGAATAAGCATCACTCGCCAGTCTGCTGCATTCCGGCTTTCTTAGCCAGCCTGCCAGAGGCTGACCGGGGTCACGCCCTTCAGTTTAGACTTTCCCTGGAGAAGGAAGTCATGAAGCTCCAGAGGCCGCCAAGCGAGCGCCAGCGGTGTTCAGAGACGCGCGGAAAGGCCAATGAAGCCTGTGTTTGGAGTGTCATGATTAGGGCAGTCGTTTCCGGCGCGCAGCTCTCTGCCGTCTGTGACCCCTCTGGGCTGTGGCCGCCCCCTGTGTGGAGCTGGGGTTGGGAGAGGAGCTCATGAGGAGACCCCAGGGCGACAGGAAAAGTGGGGGACACAGCCCCAGTGTGCAGACCCACTCTGCCCACCCTTGGACTGGTGGGGCCCTGTGGTCTGCCCTTTGGGACTGAAGAACAGTGGCCAAATCAAGAGGCAGCAAGGCTCTCTGAACCTCTCGAGCAAGGAGAAAGGAGCCACAGTCACTCTCCGCCCCACCTGCCCCTACTTCCCCTCCCCCCTCCCCCTCCTCCCTCCCCCCCCATCTTGGCTTTGCCTGGGTGCAGAAGTCCTTGCTCAGCTCTGCTCACAGGAGGCAGGTTCTGGTCAGCGGTGGCCTTGGACGAACTGACCCGGTTCTGAGTTTCCCCAGGCTGAAGGCCGGGGGTCCAGCCCTTTGTCCAGATGTTCCTCGACACTCCCCCTCTCCCCCACTGTGGGCAGCAGCCCCTCCTCTGCCTCGGGGTGGGGGGGGACGCCGCTCCAAGCTTCAGCTGACCGTCAGGCCATCTTTCCTCCAACTCTCAGGAATCTCTTTAAGGTGAAGAAACCAGGAAACCTTGCAGCCCTTTCTTACTTGTACAAACTTGACCTCTCTGCCTCTGGACCTGACTGGGTCAGAAATGAAGCCCTCTCCAGACTGAGTTGGATTTCACCAGCTCTTAAAGCGGGAGGACCTGTGAGCGCGCCGGGCCCCGCGTGTCAGGAAGACCCGACGGCTCCAGGCTTTGCCATTCTGCTGCGTTTTTCCCACTTTAAGGGGAAGCCGATGCTGGTGCAGGCTTCTCTTTGTACCAGCTTCTCCCTGGGAAGATCAGGACGCATCCTGGTGCTTGCTGCCCAGGCCTCTTTCTGGCCAAGGGCCTTGTGATTTCTGGAGCCCTCCCTTCTGCTTGGGGATCGCTTCTGCTTGTCTGGTGAATGGAGTGAGCTGCCAGACCTTCATCGGGGCCTCCAGCTAGGGCTGGCTGAGTGTCCGGCCACTCCTTCGTGAAATTCCTGCGGCAGGAGGGGGCAGCTCTGAGCAGCCAGCTGTCCTCAGAGCTGGGCAGAGAGGGGCCGCCGAATATTATCAAGTGATAAGCCCTAGTGAAGACTGTGTAGAGGAAGGAAAGCGCATTCCTGCCTGAGTTGGCGTTCGCCTCGATCGCCTCGAGGGCCCTGGGTTTGGAAGCCTTGACCCGGTGGGGGAGGAGAGGAGGAGAATTTAGATGATCCCAGATCAAGTTCCAGCTCTGGCACCTTTAATGAATAAAGTATTAGGCCATTGAATCGACTTGACACGCATGTATTGAGTACCTCGTCCGTACAGGCAGATAAACTACCTTCAGGGTGTACAGTCAGAAAATTAAAAATGGGGAGATCACTGGACACGAGGACGGGTTCTCAGGCAGGTGGCCCGAGGCCTGAGTTTGGTCCGTATGTTGGGAAAGAGGCATTGGTGGCTCACACCTGTCATTCTACTTGGGAGGCTGAGATCTGAGGACTGTGGTTCAAAGCCAGCCTGGATAGACAGATGCAGGAGACTCTTTATCTCCAGTTAACCAGTAAAGGGCTGGAAGTGGAGGTGTGACTCAAGTGGTTGAGCACCGGTCTTGTGCGAGAAAGCCAAGTGAGAATAACTTAGTCCTCAAGGGGAGACAGGCTCCTCGTGTAAGAGACATCAGGGGAGGCTCATGTTTACGACGATCATTCTGGAAGTGTGCTGGAGAGATGGGAAGGCACTGGGAACACGATCATTCTGGAAGTGTGCTGGAGAGATGGGAAGGCACTGGGAACACGCACTCATGTCCTGTGGGAACAAGCCGGGCATGGTGGCGGTGACGCCTGGCTGTGGGGAGAAGGCAGTGAGCTCTGCCACTTGGCCTGGTGAGTCGTTGCCAGCTTCTGGCTCACTGAAAGGCCGGCAGAGAATGTGGCTGCGCCTCTGGAGCTGAGGTTCTTTCTGGAACAATGTATTAAGGGGCCTGGCTTCCAGAGACAGGAACCCGGATAGTGTAACTGAAACATTTCGACTCTCATTTTACCAAGTTGCCTGGGGATCTGGTGTCTCCATGGGCAGTGCCCCCAAGGTGGGGATGAGGAGAGGTGGAGGGGGTGGGAGGTGGGAGAGGGGACTGGGAGCAGAAAGGGCTTCTGGTCCCTGAGAAGGTTATGTCCCAAAAGAAGAGTGTGGACTGGTTCTTGGAAGTTGGGTGTGGTGTGCACAGCTGGGCCCCAGTGGAGTGGGAGGCGGAGGGGTGCAGGGCATTGGACCGTCACCCTGGATGAGCAGGGCTGCAGGGAGAGCCCCCTGAGCGCATGCGTGGAGTGTGGCTTCGGCCAGCCAAGCCCTTCGACTTGTGTCGTCCACGTCCTCACGTTTGGGACAGGGATGGTGAGTGCGGGCGTGCTCGCAGACAGGAGGTGAGGCCTGGGAGGGCCGGTCTGGGCCTGAGCCTCGTGTGTTCTGCCCATCAGGAACTGTGGTTTACGGCGAACCCATCACGGCCAGCTTGGGGACCGACGGCTCCCACTACTGGAGCAAGAACTGGGCCAAGGCCGCTGCCTTCGTCACCTCCCCGCCACTGAGCCCCGATCCCACCACTCCAGACTTCCTCAGCTCCCTGCTGTCCTGGTAAGTTGAGGCAGGGGACAGGTTCACAACCTGTGTTCTCAGTCTCTTCACACCACGCTGACCCAGTGGATGGTAGCAGCATGGCAGCCGGGAGCAGGCGTGTGTGTGTGTGTGTGTGTGTGTGTGTGTGTGTGTGTGTGTGTGTGTGCCGGGAGCAAGCGTGTGTGTGTGTGTGTGTGTGTGTGTGTGTGTGTGTGTGTGTGTCGGGAGCAGGCGTGTGTGTATGTGGGGGGGGGTCCTCTGAATGAGTTGAGGGGGAGGATTCCATCACCCTACATCAGGGAGTCTCTGCCAGGCAGCCAAAGGGGCTGAGGTGGGATCAGGACCCCAGCATGACTGGTGGACAGACAGAGCGTCATGTGACATCCCGGCCGAGCTTTATGTCCCGTGTCTCCACAGTGGGGACCTGCAGGTCACCGGCAGTGCCCACTGTACCTTCAACACCGCCCAGAAGGCTGTGGGAAAGGACAACTTCACGCTGATTCCCGAGGGCACGAATGGCACGGAGGAGCGGATGTCCGTCATCTGGGACAAGGCTGTGGTAAGGAGCCAGTGCCCGCCTTGTTACCCGCCTGGAGCAGACTCTGACTTTTGGGGGAGGTGGGATATGTAGGCTTTTCTATTGGAATGCTTTAAAATAGAAGCACAGGTTTTGTTTCCTAATACACTTTTGCTGTCAGTAAAAATCACCTTGTTTTAACTCTAGCACCAGTGAACACTTGGGTGCTATCCTGGGACTTGAACTCAGTGCTTGGGTGCTTTTATCCCCGACCTTTTTTGCTTAAGGCTAACTCGTTACCACCTGAGACACAGCTCCAGCTTATTGGGTAGTTGATTGGAGAGTCTCACAGATTTTCTTGGCAGGGTTGGCGCTAAATAGCAATTCTCATATCTCAACTCCCTGAGTATCCAGGATTGCAGGTGTGAACCACTGGCACCTAGCGTTGTGACTTCCATTTTTTGCTGGTGTACAAGTGTATGGTAGGCTGGTATACAAGTGTGTGGTAGGCTTGAGTGTGTAAATAACATTACATCATACATGTCTTTAAAAAATATATAATATGGAAAAGGGCCATCTTTTAAAAACCCTTGAAAAACCATCCAGTGCTACATAGTAATTACTTGCAAGGTTTTGGTGGAATGTTTCTGTTGTTCCTGATTTTACTTTTTTTTGTTTGTTTGTGCTGGTCCTGGGGCTTGAACTCAAGGCCTGGGCAGTGTCCCTGAACTGTTTGGCTTGAGGCTAGTGCTCTACCATTTGAGCCATAGTTCCACTTGGGGCTTTTTGAAGGTTATTTGGAAATAAGAGTCTCATGGACTTTCCTGCCTTGGGCAGGCTTTGAACGGTGATCCTAGGATTACAGGCAAGAGTCACCACTGCCTAGCTTGTTTCTGAATTATTTATACTCACACGAGAATCCTTGTGGGCATGTTATTTGGGCACATTCTTATTTTATCAGCAGAAGAAATTTCTTTAAGTGCCATTGCCTGTCAAAGGGTGTGTACAGATTTTTTTTTTTTTGGGGTCCGGTAGTGGTGCCTGAATTCTGGGCCTAAGCGCTGTCCCTCAGCTCTTCAGATCAAGGCTAGCGCTCTACCACTTGAGCCACAGCGCCACTTCCGGCTTTTGTCTTTTTGCTTATGTGGTGCTGAGGAATCGAACCCAGGGCCTCATGCATGCAAGGCAAGTGCTCTACTACTGAGCTACCTTCCCAGCCCATGTGCGTACAGATTTTTAAGGGTGTAAATAGGTAAGGTTGCAGTTCCTTCCGGAGAGATTAAACCACTTCATACACAGTCTTTTCCGAATGGCCATTGTGAACTAAGAATGAAATCACTGCTGGTTTGACGAGGGGAATTTTGAGTGTCTCTGTGAGAGCGAGTGTTTTTTGCTAGCATATTGGCCATTTTTTTTCCCTCTCCCTTGCAACTATTGCTCAGTCACCCTCACCCATTGGTCTTGGAGTGGGTTTGGGAATGGAAACATCTGAAATGTGATTGGTCCCTACCGTCTACCTTGGGAAGCCAGACACAGGACTGAGACTCGGGCTGGGGGTCTAGATTCGTGCCTGTGCTCTGATGAGGAGGACATCTCAGCGGTGGTGTCAGTGTGGAAGCATCACACTGCCAACTCTCCGACGTACCCTCGGTGTGTGTGTGTGTCCCTCAGGTCACTGGAAAGATGGACGAGAACCAGTTTGTGGCTGTGACCAGCACCAATGCGGCCAAAGTCTTCAACCTTTACCCCCGGAAAGGCCGTATCGCGGTGGGATCTGATGCCGACCTGGTCATCTGGGACCCCGACAGCGTGAAGACCATCTCTGCCAAGACACACAACAGTGTAAGTCTGGTCCCCGCGCAGGTAGACCCGGGAAAGCAGAGTCCCAGAGGAAATGTCCTGGCATCTCTTCTAATTTGTGATTTGCTGAGAGACAAAAACATTTTTCTTTGGTCAGAGGTCAGGAAGATTGTCCCCCTCATTCTGTGTCTGAGTGCTTCAGTAGCAACTCGGGGTCCCCACAGTGATGCCAGATATTGGTAGCTTGTAGAAGCCGGGCATCGTTCGGTCTTGAGTAGCCGGTCCTCTTGCCAGGGGCGTGGCCTCGGGGGGGCGTGGCCCCAGGTATGGCTTATGCTCCTCCCATCTTTGGGTGATTTTGGAAGGCTGGACAGCAGGCAGCTGCCGTCACTGAACTTCTGGGAACCTTCGGTCAGCTTCCATCTCTCCCTGCGAGTCTGTCAGGGTGAGGGTGGCTGTCCTGGGGAGTTCTTGCCTCTCCGTCTGGAGCCTGGGCACGTGCTACCCTGTTCCCATCTCAGCTGCCTCTGCTGAGTTTGAGAGGTTCAACAAGACTCATGGGTGTCCCGTGGCTCCATGGGTGTCCCGTGGCCCTATGGGAGTCCCGTGGCTCTATGGGAGTCCCGTGGCTCCATGGGAGTCTCGTGGCTCCATGGGAGTCCCGTGGCTCTATGGGTGTCCCGTGGCTCTATGGGAGCCTTGGGCACAAGGTTAAGGTGTGAGATCTAACGGACAAAATTGTGTATGTACAGCATGAAAAGAATGCGTGCCCCAGAGAGATCTAAGGGGCTTCAGCTGAGGTGCTCTGTAGAGTGGGACCTCTATTTGAAGGGCTTTTTTTTTCTGGTGGTACTGGTGATTGAATGCCAGACAGGTGCTCTACTACTTGAGCCACACCTCTAGACCCTTTTTTTTTTGTTGGTTGTGGAGCTTCAACTCTGGGCATGGGCGCTGTCCCTCAGCTCTTCAGATCAAGGCTAGTGCTCTACCACTTGAGCCACAGCGCCACTTCCGGTTTTCTAGTGGCTTATTGGAGATAAGAGTCTCATGGACTTTTCTTGCCCAGGCTGGCTTTGAACTGTGACCCTTCAGATCTCAGCCTCCTGAGTAGTTAGGATTACAGGCGTGAGCCACCAGCGCCGGTTTCTAGACCCTTTTTATGTCAGTTGTTTTTAAGGTAGGCCCTTGTTTTATGGGCCGGGCGTCCCCATGTTGCTGAGGATGACAGGCATGCCCCACTGTGCCTAGCCAGTGGTTGAGATGGGTTTTGTGAATGCTCATGCCCGGCTGGCCTTAAACCGTGATTTCCCCCCATCACCCTCCCACGTAGCTGGGATCGCAGCTTGAGCCCCTGGGCTTGGCTTGAGGTGGGCCCTTCGTGAAGAGGGTGCTCCAGCCACGTTCCCAAGGGAAAGCTGGAATTGGATTCGGGCTGCTGTCCCAGAGGACCCGGCCAGTGGGGATGGGCGCGTTCCCCAGGAATGCACAGCGCAGTGCCGCCATGGTGCCGGCCCTGTGCCAGGCACGAACCCTCTCACTCGGGCAGAGGTGTGGGTGTGGCCCTCTGGGCTCACGTCGTCGCTGGCCTCACATCCGAGTAGCGTTGCGGACGCTGCCCGTGCCCTGTCCCTGGACTCACGGGACGCTGCCCGTGCCCCGTCCCCTCAGTTCTTTCTCTCCGTGCTGGCGCGTTCGCCGTGGCAGCCGCAGCCGCACGCTCCTGCGGTGGTCTGAAGGCGCTGTCCTCCCCGCCCAGGCTCTGGAGTACAACATCTTCGAAGGCATGGAGTACCGCGGCTCGCCGCTGGTGGTCATCAGCCAGGGCAAGATCGTGCTGGAGGATGGCACCCTGCACGTCACCGAGGGCTCGGGCCGCTACATCCCCCGGAAGCCCTTCCCGGACTTCGTGTACAAGCGCATCAAGGCCAGGAGCCGGGTGAGTGTCACAGAGCAAGGCCAGCGCCGCAGGTATTCCTGACGCACCCTGGGGGTGAACGCCGACATAACTGTGTGTGTGCGTCGGGCGGGTGGGTGGGGGTACAGGAAAGAGGCGAACCTGATCCCGATTTCCAGACCTTAACACACTGGTGGAGGAGACCAGTGTGGCCACACTCACCCGCGGTAGAGGAAGATGGAGTCCCAGAGGACTGTGTTATGGGAGCGGGCATTTGGAGTTGGGTTTCAAAGGTTAAGTAAGAGTTTGCCAACCTAAAGATGGGAGACAGAAGAAGTGGGTAGGGGAATGCCAGGGGCGGAGGGCACAGGGTGCTGCGGGCGGGGCAGGGCCACAGCCGAGTCTGGGGACAGCGGGGCAGAGAAGAGACCGAGCTGTAAGGGATCTCAGGAAGAGTGAGATTGGAAAATCAGGAAGTGACATCACACCTCCTTCTAGAGGATTCTTCTCGGGGCTAAAGTTCCAGTGCCTTACAAGATGTGGGTTCTTACCATCATCCAGCCTGGGCCCAGAGACATGGGCTGTCCTCTACTTGTCTTGCTGTCCCTGTCCCTGAGGAGAGGCCCCATCCTGGGCATCTGGGATAGGAGGGAGCCATTCTCTGGTGGCCTGTGTCACGGGGCCCCCCATGTGTTGCAGCTGGCGGAGCTGCGAGGGGTCCCCCGTGGCCTTTACGACGGACCCGTGTGCGAGGTGTCGGTGACGCCCAAGGCCGTGACGCCCGCCTCCTCCGCCAAGACCTCGCCCGCCAAGCAGCAGGCCCCGCCCGTCCGGAACCTGCACCAGTCTGGCTTCAGCTTGTCTGGTAGGGCTGGGGGCCACGGGTGGGGGGGGGGGGTCTGGGTCACAGGCCGGGCTGGGCTCCAGCAGCTGGCACGGCTAGTCCTGTCTCCTCCCGTCTACTCGAGGGGCTGATACTGGGAAAATCCTATCTGCACATCAGCCCAGGCGGCCTCCATCTCCACCGATAGAGCTGGGGTGGGGGGGGGGGGGGTGGGGGGGGGGGGAGTGGCACGAGGAAGCCGCCATCCTAGCCACGGTGGAAAAACACGAATAGGAGGATCGTGTTCCAGGCTGGCCTGGCTATGTCAATCCACAGCCCATACCAGCCGGGCTGGAGGGCGTGGCTCCGGTGGGGGGCACTTGTCTAGCCCGTGCGAGGCTGAGAGTTCAGATCCCAGCGTGACAAGGAAGAAAAACAACTGGAACTTCATACGCGCTGTGTGGCGTGGGGTCCCCGTGGCCGGCCACTCACTGCGGCCTTTCTCCCCCTCTCCAGGTGCTCAGATCGATGACAACATCCCCCGCCGTACCACCCAGCGCATCGTGGCGCCCCCGGGTGGCCGCGCCAACATCACCAGCCTGGGCTAGAGCCGGGCCGCAGGCCGCGGGGCGGGGCGGGCAGCGGAGGACATTCCCAGACTTCCTTCTTCCTTTCAGTTCCCCCCACACCTCCCCTTTTTTTTTTTAAAAGAGCCTGTGATAGTTGCTGTGGGCAGCCAGTTCCTGGGGCTCCCGCTGGGCCCCCTCTTACTCCATCTCTTCCTTGGAGTTTCTGAATTTACTCTCCACTTCCCTCCACATCCACCACCACCACACCCAGGCCAGGCCACGCCTCCCACGCGGCCGCACCCCCCCTCCCCAGCGGCCCCGGCCGCGCGGTGCCCACAGCGCCCTCTGCCGGACACCTCCCTTGTCACGGGAAGCAGTGAATTGCCCAGAGCTGCCTTTTTGGTTTGTTTGTTTTGTAATTCTTTTTTTTTTAAAGGTTTTCTTTGTGGGGCTGGGGAGGGCTAGGGCTGGAGGAGGGTTTTTTTTTTTAAATACTAAATTGGAAAGTCTAATTCAATATTAATCCACGGGGCTTGAACTGGACATCCTAATGATGCAATTATATAACCATGGGCCGATCCAGGGGGCTTGGCAAACTCTTGTCCCTCCGGAGAGGCTCCCCATGTCTCCACCGCATCCCTGTCGTCTTCTGGGTCAGCTGCTGAGAAAGGACAGGTTTTCATCTTTGGCCTAGATTTTGCAGCCAATTAGACCTTTTGAGGGTTTTGCTTTGCCGTTCCCCCTCCCCCGCCCTCTCCTCTCTCCCTGGCTCGTCATCGTGACTGTCTTCAGATCCCCGGCTCTCTCTGCGTCTGTTCCAGCCTCACCCTCCTGCCCATAGTCCTGTGTTGTCATGATCCCTAGGTGACTGGTGCTAACTGCCTGTCTGCCGCCAGGGGGGGTGTGAGTTGGAGACTGGTCTCCAGGTGCAGACATGGCCTGGCTGCACACCCCCTGTGGGCTTAGAATGGGGCCATGCGCAGTGCAGACTGGGAACAGGTGAAGGTCCTGTGTGTTGCTGGTTGGCTAAAGATGGTGAACCCTGTGAACACGGCCCTGTAACTCACACAGACACCCTGACCACAGCTGCCCCAAGCCTCAGCCAGGGCGTGCGGTGACCCGGGCCACTTTCCCTCTGAGAAAGTATCTTAGGGAGAAAACAGCAAATACCTTCTTTTCTTGTCCCATTATTTCAAAGGTATAACATGATAGAGGGAAGTCTTTATCAACGTAGAAAAACCTTGGAAAAATTTGACCCCCATATATTTTATTGACTGATGCCTATTATCCTAGCTACTCAGGAAGCTGAGATCCAAGAAATGAGGATCAAAGCTAGTCTGGGCAGACAGATTTGGGAGACTCTTGTTTCCAATGAAACCTCCCCCCCCCAAAAAAAAAAAAAAAAGCAGAAAACAGGTGGTAACTCAAGTGGTAGAGCGCCAGCCTTGAGTGAAAAAGTCATCGTGCTCAGAGCCTGAGTTCAAGCCGTAGGCCTGTGTGTGTATGCCCAAACACACACGCGCGCGCGCGCGCACACACACACACACACACACACACAGGGTGAGCAGACGCTCACCGTGGGGCTGCCGTGAAGACAGTGGGACAAGTGGGCCCCGTGGCCCCCTGGAGGGCCGCAGGTGTGGCTTCTCGGTGTCGTGGTGACACTTTTTTTAGTAGCTGACTCCTTTTTATCCTTGCTGATCTTGAATTTCTTTCCGAAGGTGTTACAAGTCCTCGGAGGCAAAGCTAGGTTTGCAGGCATTTCTGAAACCCAATGTGTGGTTCATCAAAAACAAGTTCATTCTACCCCCTCGCTCACACTCGATCTCATACATGTTTTGCCTTTAGGGTGCTGGGGGTGGGCTGGGGAGGGGCTGGTTTGTTTATTTGCTATTTTACTGGTAAATAGCACTTTGTTTTTTGAAAAAAAATTGGTTGACTTAATATATTTGCCTTTTGTTTTGTTTTGTTTTCTCTCACCTGCACTTCGAGGAAATGTGAGCAAGTTGGAAAATCAGTTTTTGTTTCAGCTCTCAGAAATACACGCAGCTCTGCAGTATTCACTGGGCTTCCTGTTTCCTCCTGTCCCGGGTTATTTGGTCGTGTTGATCGTGTTCTTGAGAAGTGATTTCAAACCTGAAGATTTCCGCAGGCCGTGTGCGCATGTTTACCTGTTGGCTTGCTTTCTGTCTGTTCAATGAATGTCCTGTGTAAATGCTAAAATAAACCGACAGCGACTCAGAACTGAGCGAGTGCAGCGACTTGATGCTCTCAATCCGTGTAGTTAACGCTAGATGGCTTCCATCCTTGCCTGTGGTTGTGAGTCAGTGGAACACCTTTCCCGGCTAGAGCTAACCTCGTGTGCAGCCGGAAAGGTACCTTTGGTTTTTGTTTTTGTAACCACTGTCTTAATGGCAAAATAATTATGGTAAAGAACCAGTCTCGTGTTTATTATTCCCCGAGGACTCTGTGTTATATGACCGGAACGTCTAATAAAGCAAACTGTGTTCATTTCAGGGCTGTGTCTGTATTGAGGTGCCCGCCAGGCACCGGAGGCGTGTCCAGAAGGTTCTGGGCCTGCACGGCTTGCAGTGTCCTGGTCCCAGGGAGGATCTGGCCTCAGTCCAGGCTCACCCAGCTCCCGGCCTGTGGGGTGCGCAGAACCTGAGGGTCAGAAACCTCCAGAATCCATCCCCGAGAGGCCCTGGGCCTCCCTCTAGAAGGGCTGCAAACCTGTTTGCCACAGTCCTGGCTGGGACAGTGCTGGGCATGGAGGAGGGGGGTTCCCAGGCCGGGCCCTGGGCTTGTCCCGCTGGTTTACAGCCTGGAGGGGCCCCAAGGGCTGTGGGCATGAGCCACGCCCACCAGAGGCCTGTCACCCCAAGCCACGCCCATCCCAGGCCTGAGGGTGAGCCACACCCACCAGAGGCCTGTCACCACAAGCCACGCCCATCCCAGGCCTGAGGGTGTGAGGCACACCCACCAGAGGCCTGTCACCACAAGCCACACCCACCCCTGGCCTGGTGGGCAGGAGCCACGCCCACCCCAGGCTTGTGGGCTCGAGCCATGCCTACCTGGAAAGGCCTCTAGGCACAAGCCACGCCCAACCCAAGGCCTGAGGATGCGAGCCACGCCCACCCCATCTGCAGGCACAAGCCACGCCCACCCCACCTGCAGGCACAAGCCACGCCCACCCGAGGCCTGCAGGCACAAGCCACGCCCACCCGAGGCCTGCAGGCACCAGCCACACCAGCCCCAAAAGGTCTGCGGGCTGGAGCGCCGCCCGCCCCCGAGGCTGGCAGTCCGGCACGGTCCGGTCTCTGTTGCCCGGGTCTCCGTTGCCCGCGGTCACCTTTCTCAAACTGAAAGCTCAGCAAGGTCCTGCCCTTTGGGCTCCCTGGGCCCCTCAGTGCCAAATGATTTCCGTTCCTTTTCCTTTGTTTCCCCTGTACATAGTATACTATCACAAGATGGCATCTGCCATAACACATGCAAAATCCTACAATTTTGTGAATTACAACAAGGATCTGAGAAAATATATATATATATTATATAAGTGAATATGAGAATGGCGCATATATACAGACATACTGTGTATGAATGCCTCAACATGCAATTTGACAGTGTCTCACTGTATAGGGTACAATCCCTGGTCCTGCCTTGCTTTTTGAGGGCTGGTATTAATCACGCCATTACGTCCAGCCCACATGTTATTTTGTTATTTTACAAAAAAGCAAATGACTTCCTAAGTGTCCAGAAATGATAGAAATCATTGTAATTAGATAATTAAGATACTGTAAAATACATAAAATCGATGATGGAAGAGACTCAAGACTTCAGAAGAGATCCAGAAATAGGTCCCAGAGATCTTCCTCCATCTCTCCACGTAGCTGCCTACCTGCCGCTTCAGTAGGAAAGCGATGAGACTACTTAATGAGTACACTGGTTGAGTTGGAAATGCATATTCTCCACAATCACTTCTGAAAAGGCTCTTGCTCAGGAGGTGTGGGTAAAATACTAGAAAAGAAGGCTGCAGGTAGCTGTGGTCAGGAAGGAGAGCATGAGCAGATCTGAGCCTTGCAGAACTTGCAGAAGGGGCTGTGTTCTGGTTACAACACAGACGAAGGGATAGATCTGCATTCCTGTAATCAGGAAAGCTGAGAGCCTTCACACCACACACACACACAAATATCAAGGGAAATGAATGATTTCAATGCATTCTATAGACTCTGGGACAATTGTATTGACTTGGTAACAAAAATGAGTGCATATACACAAGTCTATGTAATGAGTTCCTTCTGAAGACCTCAAAGGAATACGTATAAAGTTAGGTCAATGAAAATGCTTTGAACAGGGCCAGGAGGGAGATGCCCATATGTCATCATCCGATTAAGATTTGCTGCCCCCGGGGTGGGGGGGGCGGTCAAGGCCCACAGGACGGTGCCAGGTGCTGGGGTGGGTGTCCTGAGCTGAAGCTGAGAATCTGGCTTCTGCTCGGTCCAAGGAAGGAACATCTGGAAGTGTCAGAGATGATCCAACTCTGGGGCTTAGGAAGTTTCAGGATTAAATAATATACCAGCACTCACGTGATTGGCTGGTGGCCGAGCCTGCGTGCGCTGGACGCACACAGTCCCTGTCCTAAGGACTCGCTCCTTCCCAGGCCCCGGCCACCTGTAATGGCGTGTCACTCTTCAACCCTCTGAATACATCATCATTTCCCCTTGTGCCTTTTTTTTTTTCTTTTTCCAATCCAGAGACCCTGGCTAGGGGAGGGTGGCAAGCGAGGTCAGGGAGGGGGAGAAGAGCACCATTGCGGGGCCAGCTCCTCAGGGAAGGCTGGGCGGGCAGTGCCTTCCTTTGACCGCCATAGCCACAATGCAGAGGCGCAGGCCCGGCTCATTGGTGGTGTTGAGTGCCCTCTGCTGGAGGAAGATGCAGCTGGATGTCCTCCGGGGATGCCTTGGGCCCCACCTTCTGCAGGGATTTAGGGAGCGTGCTGGCCAGATGGAAGTTGGGGTGGTGGTGGCGGCAGGTAGGGCTTTTGGATCTGCCACGTCCTGCCACGTCCTCACCATTTTTTCATGGAAACAATATTGGGACCCGCCTGGTTCTCTTGGTTTCCGGATAAGATTTTATCCCCTTTGAGTGACGCGTTTGCGGCCGCTGATGCTGATGGACACAATTCAGTGTTCTCGAAGCGTATTCCAATGGCAGACTTACAGCGAATCCTCATCCTCACTTCCCAGCAGCCAGCCCCGGAACGGCCTTGGGGTTCCTAGGAAAACAGGCCTTTGCAAGGCTGCTTTTTTTTTTTTGTCAGTTGTGGGGTTTGAGCTCTGGGCCTGGGCGCTGTCCCTCAGCTCTTCAGCTCAAGGCAAGCGCTCTACCACTTAAGCACGTTTCTCGTGGTTAATTAGAGATAAGAATCTCCTGCCTGCGCTGGCTTTGAACCAGGGTCCTTAGATCTCAGCCTCCTGAGTAGCTAGGATGACAGATGTAAGCCACCGGTGCCTGGCTGCCATGTTGCTTTTAAATGCTTGATTCCGTTGTTCAGAAAGGCCTTGTCTTCCCTGGGCATTCTCACTCAGATAATCAGAGTAACACCTGAGCATGGTTTTCTTTGACCAAAGAATTTGCAGGGAACCCAGTGAGTGACTCATCAGGAGCAGGGTCTGCAGCTGCTGCTGCTGTCCACTGGAGGGCAGCAGTGTCCAGGCTGTGAAAGTTAATTCCTGCCGCAAGTCCATCTGCATCAGGCCGGGCCTGGGGGGGGGGGGGGGGGGGGGGGATCTCTGCCTGAACCAGCCGGCCTGGATGTGGATTTACATCCAGTCGGTGGAGACCAGAGGGCTCCAGTCTACAGTTTGTGGAGATTTATGGAGTCCAAATGTCCGGTATTCCCCAGTAAGGTCTTCCCGTTAGATACGGCTCAGAAACCATTTTCTGAGAGCGTAGTTGAGCACCATTCATGTCATTTTGCCAGTATGACTCCATTTTTCTTTCTCGAGTTTTATTTTTCTTAGAGGTGTCACTTCCCCAATTATTCCAGCCAGGGAAGTCCACGTTGTCTATTGTGTATGCTCATGTGTCAACTTCCTCTATCAGAAACAGATGAACTACAAGCCCACACCTAAGTGTTTTAAAAAGTTGTCAGAGCATCCGTGACAATTCTTCAAAACCCAGACACTTGATAGTGCAGCACCTTTTAGAATTAATGGACATCTATTGAGTGTTGGGCATGGCTCTGAGTGTTGAACATATATTTACCCAGTTAATGGTCACAACATGGTTTGACATACTTCATACATTAGGAAATTGATGCCCAGGGAGTTTAA